GAGGCTCGGTTGATAGGTACGGATTTGGTTCAGGAGGCCTTGGACAAGGTCAAGATCATTCAGGAGAGGCTTCGTTCAGCTCCGTCTAGGCAGAAGAGTTATGCCGACCGTAAGGTTCGAAATGTAGCTTTCATGGTTGGTGAGCGGGTATTGCTCCGAGTGTCGCCTATGAAGGGCGTGATGAGATTTGGGAAGAAGGGCAAGCTTAGCCCTAGGTACATTGGCCCGTTTGAGATTCTTGATCGAGTGGGAGAGGTGGCTTATAGACTTGTGTTGCCGCCCAGCTTATCAGCCGTGCATCCGGTTTTCCATGTATCCATGCTTCGGAGGTATCACGGCGATCCTGCCCACGTGTTAGATTTCAGTTCTGTCCAGTTGGACAAGGACTTATCCTATGAGGAGGAGCCGGTAGCTATTCCAGACCGGCAGATTCGTCAGTTGAGATCCAAGAGTTTTCCTTATGTTCGTGTTCAGTGGAGAGGTCAGCCTCCTGAGGCATCGACCTGGGAGTCCGAGTCCGATATGCGGAGCCGTTATCCCCATCTTTTCCCCGACTCAGGTACTCTTTTCTTTTGTCCGTTCGAGGACGAACGGTTGTTTTAGAGGTGGAGAATGTGACGACCCGAAGGGGTCAGCACCTGTATTCCTACTCCCTCTGTACTTCTGAGGCGCTGGAAACCTCATTTGGGGTTGCCTCAGGTTGTGTGCGCAGTCCGGGCGCGTAGCCGGAAAAGTTTAAATATGAATTTGTGAGAAAAATAATAAATTCTGATGTTTTAATTGATTAAGTTTGACTTCGGTCAACGTTTTGGGCAAACGGACCCGGACTCATGATTCGACAGTCCCGGAGGGTCCATAAGAAAATATGAGACTTGGGGGTGTACCCGGAATCAAATTCCGAGGCCCCGAGTCCGAGGAATGAAGTTTTGTGTGAAATTATTTTCTGATAATAATTAAAGAATTAGAAAGTATTATTTGTTTAGCAGACGGTGCTGTGGGCTCGTATTTTGGTTCCGACGCCCGGCACGAGTCTTAAATATGAGTTAAGCAATTGCTGTGAAGATTGGTAAGATTTGGACGTCATTTGACGTGTTTTGAGCTGGAAGCAATAAACTTGATATTTTATGTAAATTGGAAGGAAATCCTGGGTCTTGAGGCCTAATTTGATGATTATGATGTTGTTTGGGCGATTTGATCGCACGGATGAGTCCGTAGGATGTTTTTGAGCGTATGTGTATGTGGATCGGGTTGCACGTCACAGTTATAATTGTGGATCGGGTTGCACGCCGCAACAGTTATAATTGTGGATCGGGTTGCACACCGCAACAGTTATTGATGCAAATGTGATTAGTGTCGGTATTAGTTTCTTGTTCGCTTTAAATTGTAAGTTGCACCTAGATTGATTACTTCGGATTTACTGTTACTGTTGTTATCTCCCCACAACATGTTTCCCCCTCCCATATTTCTAGTTGTTTGGTATCTTGTTTCCGTTGTATATTTATAACCCCACAGGTTTATGTGGTGTCCAGTCTAGCCTCGTCACTACTTCGCCGGGGTTAGGCTAGACACTTACCAGCACATGGGGTCGGTTGTGCTGATGCTACACTCTGTGCATTTTTGCACAGGTCCAGGTATTGAGCAGCAGCTGCAGCATTAGCACGGGGGCGCACCTTCAGTCCAGAGAGACCCGAGGTAGCTTGCAGGCGTCCGCAGGCCCGGCGTCTCTTCTTTGTGCTCTCTTTTAGACTGTTGCCTCCTTGTCTCGAGGCAGACAACTCCTATGTTTCTTTCAGACCTTTGTATTTAGTATATTCTTAGTGGTTCGTGAGTGATGTGACACCAAATCTTGGGTAGAGGCTTTTATTAACTGTTCCGCGTTTGATTCAGATTAGTAAATCAGACTTCCGCTATTATTCTTATTAAATTTCATGTTATATATTGATGCTATAAATTGTTAAATTAATTGTTTAGTGATAAAAAGGTAAATAAGTTGGCTTGCCTAGCTACCACGAGTAGGCGCCATCACGATCCCGATGGTAGGAAATCCGGGTCGTGACAAGTTGGTATCAGAGCTCTAGGTTACATAGGTCTCACAACTCACGGACAAGCTTAGTAGAGTCTGAGGGATCGGTATAGAGACGTCTGTACTTATCCCCCAGAGGCTGCCAAGTTAGGAAAAATCTCTCCTTTCGTTCTTTCTTGTCGTGCGGTTTGGTTTCTCAATGCTAATTGGACTTCTACTCTGTTTCCTCGCAGAATGGCGAGAACACGCGCTTCCTCATCTTCAGACCAGCAGTCCGAGCCCCAAGCAGATCCCGCTAGGGGCAGAGGACGAGGCCGTGCTAGAGGCCGAGGTAGGGGCAGAGCTCAGTCCCGAGCAGCAGCACCAGCGGCGGAGCCCCAGGTCGGTTTTGACGAGGAGGTTCCGGCCCCAGCCCCAGCAGCGCCAGTGGGCCCAGCTCAGGTCCCAGAGGGGTTTATAGCCAACCCAGTTCTAATTGGTAGGCTTTGTGGAGAGCGTCACTAGAGCGGGTTTGCTTCCAGTAGCACCAGCCACTTCTCAGGCTGGAGGAGGAGTTCAGACTCCTACTACACGTACTCCGGAGCAGGTAGCTCCCTAGGCTCAGGTTCCAGTGGTTCAGCCAGCTGTGGAAGCTCAGCCGAGTATTGTGGCTCAGACCGGCGATGGAGCGGCTATGTCCGCAGATGCTTTGTGGAGACTGGATAGGTTCACCAAGCTCTTCACCACCACATTCAGCAGTGCTTCTTCGGAGGACCCCCAGGATTTTTTGTATAGCTGACATGAGGTTCTTCGGACTATGGGTATTGTGGAGACCAATGGGGTCGACTTTGCCACTTTTCGTCTAGCAGGATCTGCCAAGACTTGGTGGAGGGATTTCTGTTTAGCCAGACCAGCGGGGTCGCCAGCATTGACATGGGATCAGTTTGCAGAGTTGTTTTTGGAGAAGTTTCTCCCAGTTACTCAGCGAGAGGCTCTTCGCAGGCAGTTCGAGCGCTCCAGTAGGGCTCTATGTCAGTCACTCAGTATGAGACCCGGTTTATCGATCTAGCTCGCCATGCTATTGTTATACTCCCCACTGAGAGGGAGAGGGAGAGGAGATTTATTGATGGTTTGATTCAGCCGATTCGTCTCCAGATGGCTAGGGAGACTGGTAGTGAGATCAGCTTTCAGGAGGCGGCCAATGTGGCCCGCCGAGTTGAGATGGTTCTGGCACAGGGGGGTGGCCATAGAGTGGACAAGAGGCCCCGTCACTCAGGTCGTTTCAGTGGTGCCTCATCTGGAGGCAGGGATTCTTATGATAGGGGTCAGCCCTCCAGGCCTTTCCAGTCAGCCCTTCAGGTTTCTCAGGGTGCCCCAGGCGAACGTGGTTACCGGGGGCATTATTCTGATCAGCAGACCCTCAGTGTACCGTCAGCTCCCATCAGCGCACCGCCACTTTAGAGTTTCCGTGGAGGTCATTTAGGTCGCCAGGGCCAGCCACAGCGTTCAGAGGGGTGTTATGAGTGTGGTGAGTATGGTCACATCAGGAGAGCTTGCCCGAGATTGAAGGGCACTCAGTCGCAGCAGCAGGGTCCCCGTCCTATGATTCAGGCACCGGATGCTCCACAGCCAGCTAGAGGTGGAGGTAGAGGCCATAGAGGTGGAGGTAGAGGCCATAGAGGTGGAGCTCAGACCGCCAGGGGCGGAGGTCAGCTAGCAGCAGATCGACCTAGGGATACAATTCAGGGTGGTGGGGCTCAGCCCCGTTGCTATGCACTCCAGGCTAGGCCCGAGGCAGAGGCCTCAGATGTAGTGATTACAGGTACGGTTCTGG